CTGACTTGGCCCATGACCTCATGCACACCCTGTTCCCTCCCAGGTTCTTGTGAACAACAACATGTTCGATCGGTACAGTCACCGCATCCCCCTGTGTCAAGTGAAGAGCCTGGAGGTCCAGCCTAAGGTGGACATCCACAAGATTGAGTTCTTCTAGCTTGTCCCAGAACACAGAAACCCCCAGCAATGGGGACCTCACATTGGGGATCCTGCCAGGACCTACTGATAGATGTGGAGAGCTGCCAATAAAGTGGCCTCTGGGCTCTCCCCTACCTGTGCCCATGTCTCTGTGTCTTTGCCGCATAAATTCGTGGGGCTGGTCATGAGCAGACCTTTCCCCTGGGGCTGGGAAGACTCTGCCCTGGGGGCATTCACAGGTGCAGCTGGGAATCAGGGGGAAATCAGAGAGCAGCGGGGCTAGAAGGGAGCTGCAAAGGTCACATCCAGCCCTACGCCACCCTGAGGCAGGATCAGTCCCATCCAACCCACCCTGGACAAATCCATAATCACAGAAATCTTTGAAATCCTAGAGCTGCGGGGTCACACCTAGTCCAACCTGCCTGAGGCAGGATCAGCCCCGTCCAAACCAGCCCAGACAAACCCAGCATCAAACCTCTGAGCAACATGACCGTCAGCCCCAAAACTGCACCGGGCATCGCACCCGCCCCTGCCCCAGAGAAAGCAGAGGCACCGTGGGAGGCAACAGTCGGCTGCTGCCAAAGGGGGTTCACATTCACGCTCCAGAGACCCCAGGCTGAGGCTGTGCCACTAGTATAGATGCAGTCAAACCCCCTCCCCGCACCCCCCATGATTCCCTGGCAATCTGACCAGGGGGAAAATATCCCTCCCTGAGCACAGGGGCAAGACCCTCCAGCCAGGACCCTGCAGGGTTGGTGGCAGCAGCAGCATTAGCACAGCCCAGTCCCATCCCCAGCCTGAGCTGCAGCCAGCACCAGTGCCTCTGGGGGAGGCTTAAAAACCCCTGATGCATGGAGTAACAAGGGCTGGGAGGCAACCAGGAAAGCCCAGAAGCCTGGGACATCCCCACAGCAGAGCACAGGCATCTCTGTGCCTACATCATCCCCCACCAGTGGCTATCCAGCCCCTTCACAAACATCTCCAGGGATGGTTAGATGGAAAGCATGGATACACAACTAAGGGAAGGTGACTCCTCAGGCCACGGGGAGGACCGACCTCCCAATAAGTGGGTCCTTCACTCCCCACTTTTATTGCTGTGACAGACTCATTGCCACAGGGGCAGCCATGACCTCTCATAGTGACCTTGATGCTCCTACCTGGCTCAAACTTCAATGCCGCTCTCCTTAGATTGCTCGCCTGCCATGCCTTGTTCTTAAATATTATAGGTTGAGATGGGGAGGCTCCCAACAGGCCTAATCCCAATAAGTTCCCACTGGTTTTTTCCCGAGACACCACTGAGATCAATACAGTTGGTAAGCTCTCAGGCTTGGTAAGTCCCTCTCTGCCTGACTAGGACCCTGTAGGGGATCAACAGCCTTAAGGGCCAATTGCGTGGCTCCTTCATCTCCCCTACACTATGCCCCAAGCCTGGTGGATGTTCTCTCCCACTGATGTAAATGTTTATATGCTCGGGCCCAACCCCCGGTCTTGCATGCAGTCCCTCCTCTGGGCTCTCAGACCCTTTCATCTGGCTTAGCTTGCTCTGGGCTCATGGATCTTCTGGCCCAGCTCAACCTTTCCCTGGGCTCTTGGACCTTCTTGCTTGGGTCTCAGCCTTTTTCTAGGCACCTCACTGGGACCCATCCTCAGTCTGAGGGTCCTGGGTCACCGGGTCTTTAAAGAGGCCTTGAGCCTGCCCCAGCAGGGCTCAAGGCTACACTACTGGTCCAACTCATATGAATAAGAAACACTGCCCTTTGGCAGACATCTAAATCCCTCTAGGGGTTTAACATAGCTTCATAGTTGGTCGGGTCAGAAGAGACCTGAGCAGATCATCAAGTCCAACCCCCTGTCATGGCAGGAAAGAGTACCGGGGTCAAACGACCCCAGCAAGGTGTTCGTCTAACCTCTTAAAGACCCCCGGGGTAGGAGCCAGCACCACTTTGCTTCGAAGTTGGTTCCAGGTCCTAGCCGCCCTGACAGTGAAGTCGCGCCTCCTGATGTCTAGCCTGAAACTACCCTCTGCCAGCTTGTGACCGGTATTTCTAGTCACTCCTGGTAGTGCTCGGGGGAACAGGGACTCCCCCAATGCCTGCTGGTCCTCCTTGTTAAGTTTATAGATGGCCACCAGATCCCCTCTCAGCCTTCTCTTGTGGAGGCTGAACAGGTTCAGGTCCTGTCACCTCCCCTCGTAGGGCCTGCCCTGCTGCCCCCTGATCATGAGGGTGGCCTCCTCTGGACCCTCTCGATGCTGTGCACATCCCTCCTGAAGCACAGCGTCCAGAACTGGATGCAGTACTCCAGCTGCGGCCTGACCTGTGTCGCATAGAGAGGGAGGATCACCTCCTTGGCCCTGCTTGAGATGCATCTGTGGATGCATGACAAGGTGCGGTTGGCCTTCCCGACCATGACCCCACAGTCGGCCCATGTTCATTTTGGCATCAATAATGACTCCAAGATCCTTCTCTGCCTCTGCACTGACGAGAAGGGAGTTCCCCAGCCTGTAGGTGTGCTGCTGGCTCTTCCTCCCCAGGTGCAGCACCTTGCACTTGTCAGTGTTGAAACCCATCCTGTTCTCATCTGCCCACCCCTGTAACCTGTCTAGGTCTGATTGCAGCCTGTCCCTCCCTTCTAGCATGCTCACTTCTCCCCACGTCTTAGTGTCATCGGCAAATTTGAGCAGGGTGCTTTCCACCCCCTCGTCCAAGTCGCTGATGAAGATGTTGAACAGTGCGGGTCCGAGGACCGAGCCCTGGGGGACCCCACTGCCCACAGCCCTCCAGGTCGAAAATGACCCATCCACCACCACTCTCTGGGTGCGGCCCTCCAGCCAGTTAGTGACCCATCTGACTGTGTAGGTGTCGACACCACAGTCCCCTAGTTTTTGAATGAGAATGGGGTGAGAGACAGTGTCGAAGGCCTTCCTGAAGTCCAGAAAGACTACGTCCACTGCTACCCCTGTGTCTCAGGATGCTGTGACCTGGTCATAGAAGGCACCAGGTTGGTCTGACAGGACCTGCCTCGAATGAACCCGTGTTGGTTGCCCCTAAGCATAACCTCCCCTGCCGGCCCCTCACAGACATGCGCCAGGATAATTCTCTCAAAAAGCTTACCCAGGATCGAGGTAAGACTAACTGGCCTATAGTAATGAAGACCATAAAAGAAGACCAATGGCATGTAAGCACAGTTTTCCTCAGTCCAAGGAACTTGCTTCTGTTCCCAGGCCTGCAGAGTTATTCAGCCAAATCCAGGTCCTCTCAGGAGCCCTACAGCCAGGAGCTCCTCACTTCTTGGGTGCTGGGGTTTGAGTCCCTGACTGGTGGAGGCTCTGGGCTTATATAAGTAACCCTTGGAGTGCGGCGCTACCCATGGCCATGTCCAGATGTTCGGGACCTGGGCTGCCAGGTAGCTTTACGCCTGCTCAGCTCACCTAGGAGTGGCCAGAAGCTCCCTGAGAAGAGGGGCTCCCTTTCACAATGGAGAGCCTTTGCAGACTCATGAGTAACTATTTACAGAATTTAATTTTATACAGGGAATAATTATACAGGGTCATTTGACCCCAGCAGTCTTTCCGGCCCATGTGCAGGGGGCCTAGATCCCATGATCTGCAAGGTCCCTTCCAGCCCCTAACAACTATGAAACTATAATATGCAAGCAAATACTAAATGATATCAAAAAATTGAAATACTCCGTTTACAATGAAACACAGGTGAGTTTATACAACAAGAGCAGTTAATACCTATTTACACTTAAGAGAGAATCAAGTTGATGGATAAAAACTGATACACTATGCTAAATACTTATTATATTAATCCTTTAATTAAGTTATCTGCAATTAGTAGCTGTTCGCCCCAACATATGCCCAAAGGATGGAGGGAGGGGTGGTCCCTCACTCCTCTCATCATGCATTTTGAGGGCCCCAGCTGTCTGGGGCTGTCCCCCACAGGCCCAGGCATCTCGCAGCCCGCAGAGCCTGTCGTCACCCCAGACCTCGGCAACACAGATTCCTCCCCGCACACCTGTGCACACTCCCCTGCCTGTGCACCGCCTCTCCAAGGCCACACAGCTATTTACACAACTACACCCAGAGAGAAAGAGCTCACTGCCGCAGGCAGCACCTCTGCTCTCACTTCCCCTTACACACCCGGCACACCGAGGCTTCCCCTCAGGCTGAGGCTTCCTGGGTGTGAGCCCACACAGGCATCCTGGGCACTCTCCCTTGCTGGGCCCCCTTTCCCCCAAGCTGACACGGTTCCCCCACAATCCCTTCCCCGCCCGCTCACACAGGGGTTTATCCCACTCTTACCAACTCCAAGTTTCCAAACCCAGTGGGGAATCAGCATCTTGCTCTCTGGGGCTCCCTGGGGCTCTGTCCCCACCCAAAGGGATTTGTAAAGCCAGCTCACAAACTTCAAGGGCTCATTCTAGGGGTTTTCTCTCTCCTGGTCAACCCTCGGGGGCTCCACTGGCCTCCAGCCACTCATGAAGGCTTCAGCAGAGACCCATGGGACAGAACCATGCTGCAGGCTCTTCCCAGCCCAGCGCATGCCTCTCTCTACCACCCCCAGAGTGGGGAGACACCTAGGTTTAAGGGGAGCCAACAGGAAATCCCTGGGCTGGAATTTTCCTGGGGTCCCAAATTGAGTTTTGAACCTTGAATCCTCCTGCTGGGGATAAGACTGGACTACAAGTTTGGTGTCCCAATTAAGACAAAATCCATGGCAAGGTGTCCCTGCTGGGACAATCTTCACCTAGCATTCAGGCAAGGCCCGAAGCAGGACACTCAGAAGGTAAGAGCCCCTTCAACTGCCTGGGACATCTATAATAGCACTGAGGGGGTCAGGGTACCCCACACATGGCATGCTCCCCAATAATGGAAAAGGGAGCACATACACTGCAGACACAGATTGATCTCCAAACAGACCAGGAGCACCCCAATCTTCAACCCCCAACACACTCTAACACACGCAGCTTTGAACTATTTATTTAATGATGTAAGAAAAAGAGGTCAACAGTAGACTGATTCACATCAGGCACCGCAGCTACACCTGGTGTGCTAAAACATTCATTGCACACAACTTCCTGCAAAAGCCCTGCAAGTACCTGCCAATTGTAGGGATGCCTGGTGGACAGC